TTATCCCCCAAGCAGCAGTGCACAGCACAGGCTGTATATCTGGATATACAGCTGGAGGGTGCAGGGAGGCAAAGGTGGCATGATTTGCTAATAAAGTATTTTCTAATAGTTGCTAAGTGCCTTTTGTGGATTTGAGTTTATTGTAGCATTATATTGTTATAAGCCACATATAACAAAGTGGAGTATAAATTTAAATAATCAAGCATCCATACTATTTTACTAAAAAACTATCAATCACTGTAGAAGTATACTTTTATGTACTGTTGTAAACTGCCCAGAGAGCTTCAGCTATTTGGTGGTACAGAAATGAACAACAACAACAAGAAGAAGTCCAAATTACAAGTCCTGCCAAAAATGGCAGCCAGAGCCAGATTTCCCAGGTACAGGTAAAGTGCACAAGAATATTATACAGAGCAGAGAGTGAAAGGCGCTGGCTCGGCGATGGTGCCCTAGCTAATTTGGAGGGAGAGCAGCTGATGATAAGAGGCTGTGACACGCCGTATCGAGTCCTTGAGGCGAGTGCCTCGGCTGCCTCATTAGAGTCCTTCTGCACTTCATCACATGGTGAGCTCCTCAGGCCCTGCACGTGCAAAGGCAGAAGACTCGCATGCACCAACGTGGTCAAAGCTAGCAAAAGATACACCGCGGCTCCTGTTAACAGGGGAAAGGTCTATTTCCATAGTCTCGGCTGTTTTGCAATACCGAGAGCGCAGCGGGGTATGTTACTTTTGCATTATGCATGTAAAACTCATGAAATGCCTTGGATGGAGAGGATATGTGTAGAATTTAAACCCAAATGAAAGCAGGATGTGTTATATTCACTTTCTGAGTAGCAGCTTTAAAAAAATGTACCTGAGAATGTTAAAATCTTTTTTGAAACAATGGTGGCAGCAGGAGGTAGATAAAATGATGCACAGTAAAAGGTTATAGAAACAACAAATGTAATTAACAGAACAAGTAATGTGATTGAGGTATTCCGCTTAATTTGGCTCTACCCAGCATTCATAGAAATGTCGGGGCAGCCAGCATGTACTTCTCTGGTTGCCATTCAAATTGTTTCAGTGTGAAAGATCATATTTAATGAGTGCACAACTCTCCTCCAGCTGGAGCCATGGGGCATGGTGGTCACACTTTTGGGCTGGTGACCAGGGAGATCCAGGTTCTAGTCCACACTCAGGCATGAGGCCCACTGGGCAATCACTGTCTCAGCCTAACCTACCTCACAGGGCTGTTCTTGCGAAGATAAAATGGAGAGGAGGAGAACATTGTAAGCTGCCTTAGGTTCTTTGCAGGAGCAAGAAAAGTGGGATATAAACGCAATACAATAATAATACAATTATAATAGACATTAAATATATAGAGCTACAGATCAGGTGTTGTTAAGCATCAGCTGCTACAAACAGACGCCTTTCACCCATCATTCTCTAGAAAGAAGTGAATGGAAGAGTTTAGCCCTCTAAGAAGTGTTTTGTGTCCCAGCGGTATTATAAGGAAAGGAAAAAAAGACAGTACAAGTCAAATCTTGATTGATCCCCTGAGTGAGTGCTAAAATCTGGGTTGAATCTAGAACAGCCTGATTCAGCTTTAATGGCACTACTGCTCCACAGCCAAGCCTGTTTCAGCTCCTAGATGGTCTGCCCTGTATCCGTTCAAGAGCTGTGGGCCAAGACAGACCTGCCAACTGCGGCTGCTTAAGCAGAAGGAGCTGATCAGAGCTGGATGCCAGCAATATTCAGCAGCTGAAGAGGCTGCAGGTCTGGCCAAGAGCCAAGGAGAGTGTGCGAGAACAGAACTCCCTTGTGCAGAGGCAAAAGTACCTGTTGCGGGCGGGTGCGTTCCATGGTGCCTTTTTGCCCACTTTGTTTTGTTTTGGAAAATGCAACTGCTAAGATTACAATGTGAAGGAGGTAGAGGGTCTTCATAAACTTTACCCATTTTCCCACCAGCCGCGGCCTGCCCACAAAGCTTCAATGCTTCAGAAGGGCCAAGGGTAACCACATCTCTTCTCTGTGTGTGTTGTGGGGTGGGGGTTAAAAGCAATATTTTGGGAAGACTTTTGGTGGAAATCACCCAAGAGTTAAGATGCACCTCTCCTGCTTCCCATGGCAGTCTCTGCAGTTGCATTTTTAAACTGCAGCAGTGAAACATATCTGTTTGGGGGGGGGGGAGAAATACATGCAACATTTAGTCTTGCCAAAGGTGCCCAGGAAGCAAATATCTAGCTTTTCATTGGTTTATCGCACTGAAAACCTGCTTAATTGCTCCAAGGGAAGAAAATTTTACACAGTTTAATAAGTGTATGGACTTGATGGGATCTTGAGGCCTATCTTGTGTTTGCATCCAGGCTGCCTTTCTACCAGCCGGCTCTGGTGCGCCATCCTTGCCCTACAGCTAGGAGAGCTTGCTTGTTCTTTGTGTTTTGTACAGTCCTTGAAAGCTATTTTCCTGCCTTCACATGAAACCATGAAACCCCAATGCCGCATCAGTACTGCAATAGCTTATCCTTTATTCCCTAGGAACTCTGGCTATTGTAATTCTACACAACAGCATTTCTCAAATAAATTCTCTACACTCTCAGAAAACTCCAGCTTTTGGGGTTCTTCAAAAAGAAGGATCATTGCAGTTAAATCAGTTTAAATCCTGCAGTGCCCCTGTGCCTGGCACAGCGACTCACTATGTGCACTTAAGATATAGAGAATGTCAAGGTTTACATATCATTAGGTCTTTTTCACAGCTACATGGGAAAATCCAATCAAATTGTTTAAACGTCGTTTAAACCATCATGTCAGGGAGTCTACGTTAATACAAACACCGTGCACATTTTCAAATCAAGCCATGGAAAAATTGCATTATTTAAATGGAACGGTTTCTGGTTTTATTTATTTATGCTTAAATTCTTCTTGCCATTTGCTTTTAATTCTCTGCCTGTTTCATTTTTTAAACCCAGGGGAAAGTTGACTGCAGTGCTCCTAACAGCACTGTAATGGGTCCCCAAGCTCCACGCGTTAGAGACGGCCTCTTCCCCATGAGCAGCCGTAATCGCCACAGTTAACCCAGGGCGTCCTTTTGACAGTGCCTCCTGCGCATCAGCTGCGACTGGTGAGGGCACAGAGAGAAATATTTGTCACTCCTGTTCCTCCTAATTCCCCTGAAGAACTGCCAAAGGCAGTACTGCTCAGGCTCCTATTAAAACGTTGAACAGGCTGTTGGGTTGCCAGGGAGATATGTTTTTTCTTTTGAAGCTGAAGGTTTTCCCTCCCACTTTAATACATTTTCAGCATTCATTATAACCACCCTGTTCAAAAGAGTATAAAACAACCCAAGAGCATATAGGAGAAAGTGAGATATACACTTTCAAACACACTACGAAATCGAAAAGGCACCAGCAATGTTGGGCACGCTTTGCCTAGTGTTCTTACATTTATACTGCAAAGTGCTGCAGAGACCTGCATGGGGCTATATCAGGGGGCTGCTTTAAGATTTGAAGAATGAAATTAACAACATCTGACTAGAATCTGGCAAAAAGTTATGCAAAGTATAAGAATTGGGAGTGGGGAACATGTGGCTCTCCAGGTGCGGGTGGGCTGCCATTCCCATGAACCTTTGCCAGCATAGCTAACAGTGAAAGATAACAGGAGCTGTGGCCTGCCAGCATCTGGAAGGCCACAGGTTCCCTATCCATGCTTTAACGTAGACAACCTGCCTCCCCGCCCCCCCAAGATGTTTTGGCCTACAGGTCCCAGAAGACCCAGGTAGAAGGGCCAATTTTCAGGGACTGTGGGAGTTCAAAATACCTTGAAGCACAGCTGGGTGCTTACCTAAGCTTTAGTCCCTTGGAAATCAGTGCAGTGCGGATCAGTGCAACGTTAGATCACAAGAGGAATCAAACAGTTTCAAAGTGTAATCTGTGCACTCCTGTGAGTGACCAGGCAGTACAATAAAGTGGCATATAACGTGCCAGTGAGTTCTCCAGTCCAGCGCTCCTTGCACACTCAGACGTGTGCACATGTTGGGGTCCCAATTTATTTGGAGGGAGGAAGATTACCTGGGTGCATCTTACATTTGCAAAGGGGTCGCTCTGTATGCACACTGCCTATCACAGAGCACAGGACTGGACAACTGAGCACAGAGGGCTTTCAAAGGAAGGAGGTCAGATGTTCTTCTTCAAGTCAGAGTGTGAGCCTGGTTTTTATCCTCACCAGCATTGCCAGTATCTTTCTAGAACAGAAACTCACTGTGCCATACCCTCTGGCACTCAAGTTTCTATTCTTGTACAATACATTATTGTTCTATTTATACGTCTTTAATTAATTGTCCACCCATTTAATTACACGTATGGAAAAAACTGTCTACAAATAGGAGCAGCTCAACACCTCCCCCACCCCTGCAAGAATGTATTTTTTTTCAAGTCCTCAAGAAATAATGGCGAAGGTTACATTTAAAAAATTGTAAAGGAATGGAGGCTACATAAGAAAACTGTTTTAGGTAGAGCATTGCTGCTTGAGAGTCAGCTGCTGTAACAGCTGTAACAGTGCTTTAGTAAAAATGTGCTGTTGACATCATAGTTCAGTACTAGAGGGGAAATAAGAGCCAGGAAGCAGGAGAAATGCAGAGCATCTGCACTGCCCAGATGCCATGGAGAATACCCATGGCATCTAACACGCCTTCACTGCAATGGGCAGAAATAAGATCGGTTAATCCTTTGATAAAAACATCAGATTGAAAAATACCTTTTTGGAGACCTTGGCACCAAAGGTTTCCATGAGCTCATCTAATATCATTTCCAGGATCTTTTCCTTTATGTGCATAGGCACAAAACATATAAAAGGCAGAACCAATAGTTTTATCAACTTCAATCACAGTTTTAGTGTCATTTCAATTGATTTAACACACAAGAAGGTAGTTTGGCTGTTTTTGCTCAAGCATACCAAAGTACAATACACTTCAATTCCAAATAAACCCTGGACATCTAGGTTTAATGAAGCAGATGAATGCCTTACCTTGAAACTGTGAACCTTTTCATATTTTGGAATGTGTTCGTTTTCTTTCAGAGTGGCTCTTCTGACAAGTGATGTCAGCTGCGAATAAGCAAAGAGTTTAAGAGGTTGCCAGATTGTCACAGATGACTTCTGAAAGCCCAGTCGCATTCCCAAGGCTGCTATCAATAAATCTCTTTGACGGCTCTCCTGTTTCGGGTTGTGAACGGCAGCTCTATTAGCTTCTTGCCCTGACCAAGATTCTTTGGATGGCATTTTGGAACTGGCAGGAGAGAAAACCAAAAAACCCCCAAAAGCAAAAACTCCCCACACCAATGCGAAACACACACGTGGCCTCTGCGCTGGTTTCAAACAGAGTTACAGCAAAATAAAAGCAACATTACCCGAAGCCTAAACTGAACTGCAGAAAGGCACAACTGTAATGCTGATGCTGTTACTATAGTACTGCAAAAGAAAATCCTGGTTTGGCTACAATTTCTTCTCACTGGAGGGTTTTTTGTTTTTTGGCTAAAGGTCCCTAAACTTGAAAACTTAGGGGGTTTGAATATGAAAACAGAGTCACTGTTCACAAAAGAAAGCCCAGAATATCTTCATCCATTTAGGAAGTCATGCAATGACTGTCAAATAGGCTGGTTCTCTGGACTCTTTCTCCACTGCTCAACCATACCAAGGACCACTTCGTATCGAAATATGCTCTCATACGGCATGTAATCAGTTTCCAGTTAACAGACACCCCGCTAACCTCAGTCTAGCAAGGAGAGAGAAGATGGGTGGGCATTAGCAGGCAGCAATGAATTGGGACTGGTTAGATTAAGATATCATATAACCAATGAAAAGCCAGCAATAGAATTTAAGCAGTGTGCTGTTCAGCTCACTCATCCCCCTCCCCCTCCCAGATGAGGCTTTCTTGCAGGGGGCGGGGGGGGGGAGAGAGAGAGAGAATATCAGCAGGAAGATAATGAGCAATGAATGAGTCATGCATCGTTGCAAAATGGCATCTCTGCCATTTAAAAACTAAGAACACTGCAGTACATTTGCAGGCATTAAAAGTGAGGAGCAAACAGGAAAGGTTTCTATTACATGGATGATTTAGATGAACACTAATTTCATTGCACATACTATTCACATACGGAATAGTTACCCAGTTTAATACAACAATCCAGGGAAGACACAAAATGCCTTTCTTTCGCATTCGCCGTTCATTTCAATTATATTATTTTAAAAGGAATCCACAATCATTTTCTTCTTCATCAACCTTCCCCAATGTGGGGCTCTCCAGATGTTTGGGACACCCACCACCACTCGTCCTTGGCCAGGATGGTCCTTGTGAAGCATATTGGTGAAAGCTGCTGCACATACTGACCTTATGTCAGGTCTAATCATTCCACTGTGCCATAATGAATGGAGAATGGGGAAAAATTCTATCAACTCTCCAACATTGATTCTTATAGCCAGGCTGCCAATGGACAATACCGGGGATGTGTTTAGCAAGAGGCATTTTGCTGAAATTCCCTGGACTTGCCCTGAATTCATAGTTCAGAACTGTGAACCTCTCTCCAAGCTCTCAAGTAACCATGTCTTTCCTGAATGAAGCTCTGACAAATCCACATACACATTCCATGATCTTTTCTCCAAGTTGACCCTGAAATAAAGAGTGGCAATCCTTTGTTTTGCAGTCAAGCAAATTAAATGAAAAGGGCCCATGCATAAGCCAAATAGATGTAAAAATAATACTTCTGACCTTACTGCCAACCAGTTTTATCTATCTGTGGAACCAGAGGTCATTAAGCACATGGGCTGAGTTCTATTTTGCAGGCCTAAGTTAGTTTTCCCTGTTGTTAGCTAACATAGAAAGAAAAACAGCATTCTGTGCTTTTTGGAGTTCTACCTGCCATGAATGGAGTAGAAAATCCACAGGCTTGGATATCTAGTTGGCCCACAGTAGGTTGGTTCAAAACTGACCTGATTTTTTTTTGACATACTGTACTGACCTCTTCCGGGCTAGTGTCCTTGAACAAGAGTACTACAAAAAGGGAACAACTTATACCAAATCACATTTCTTATGATAAACTTGACCGGGGACCAATTTTTATAGCTCTGTCTTCACTGCAGAATGCATAAAGAGGCATGTACGTACACATTTAATTTTGCAGCTAGATTGGTATAGGAGGGGGTGGCATTATTAACAGATGAGAAAAAGGAAAAGTTGGGAGATGAAGAGTAAATAAGCATTTGGATTTTTTTCCTCCCCTACTGCACCAATGCACTTTCAAGTTTGTGAAACTCATTGTATGCCATGTCCAGTTCTCAGGGCTGCTTTGCATTTGACATTTTGTGCTTGGACACAGACACCCGAATACAAAATGCACACAGCCTGAATCAGTTGAAAATGGTGAGGTATTCTTAAATCTTACTTTTCTCTGCAAAATTCTTTTAGGCGAGAGGCTGCTTCTTTCCCATTCATTACTTCCCTGCCTTTCTCAAAGAACAGCACTAATTTAAGCATGTCCAAACTATTCTCAAACGATGTGATGCAGACAAGTTTTGCTTTATGGCAAATAGGGCAAACAACCAATTAAAAAAGGATTGATTTTGTTTTATCTGACTTGTTAGAACACTACATGGCAAACCACTGAAACAACCCATAGTGTACCCAAGAGATAAACATACTCGCTGGTCCTTCTTGCCCCTTCGTCCTTCAACAGTCTCCCATGGCAACACCTGCTTTGCCTCTTCTACTTGCATTCCCTGGGATCCCTTTTCTGGTTGCTGCAGCTTACCCTCTCCCCGCTCCCCCGAAATCGCTTTTTACGATAGCCAAAATTACAACTGATAACAGCCCCTCAAGAGGCCACCGGTTCACCAACCTGTGAGTGTGGACAGTGAATCTGCAGACTTGATCTCTCTTGCTGTCTGAATTGACATTTTTGTCAATCCCCAGGAAGCTATCTATTGTTAAAGTACAGGAAGATGTTGGCCAACCAAGGCTACAGGTAGGTTATTTTGTGGTTTGCTTCTCATTTGACAGCTTCACGGGGCAAGCTGTCAGGAGATGAAGCTGGATCCCTGCCGGCAAAAAGGTGTGGTGTGTAGATCAATCCCTTCCCAGCAAGATACTCTAGATTGTGTGTGTGTGTGTGTGTGTGTGTGTGTGTTGGGGGGGGGGGAGGCGGAACCTGACTGCCTGTCTGTTCTCAGTGTCTTCCATCTTTACCACCCCATCCTGGGAGGCTAGATGCTCAGGAAAATGGAAAAATATGAGCCATCCCATTTATGGAAGCACCAACTTCTGACAACCACCAACAGTCAGGATGCCTTTTAAAACATGGCTTCTGACGGGGTGGGGTGGGGTGGGGCTCAAAAGGACATATGCAGCTTGGGTACTTTGAAGGAACTGGGGATTGTGAAAGGCAATTTCAGAGGAAAAAGAATGAAAGGGGATTTTTTTTTAATTTAAAAGTTCTGGCAATCAGCAAAAGGGTGGTGGGTGGTGTGAGGGAAACCGAGTCAATTGTGCCTGCTTCACAGTGCCACTTGGACACCTGGTGGTGTGACTGGCTCTGGTGGTGACCTGGGGAAACTGGGCAGGTGCAGCAAGGAGACTCGCTTCCTGGTTCCTTGAACCCATGATGGGGGAGGGGGCTTCCTGGGGGATCTTCTGTGGTGCTTACTATCAGCACACTCTAAGTCCTTTATTGCTATATCGTATTAAAACAATATAATAAAACTATGTGATTGACTGCCAAACCTTTTGGGTTTGGATTATACGTTTTGTAATGGTGCAGATGATGCCAGTGCCTGCTGCACCCCCTCCCCCACTCCACATCGCACTCATAATGTTGGCACGGACGGTATGCAAACATCCGAGTAGCGAAAGTCTCGGACTGTGCCCTCCATCCATCCACTCCTTGGCCTGTAGGGAGCAGCTCTCATGGTCAGAGGTTCCACCGCTGCAAGGTATTTGTGGTGGCAGCCCTGGTTCAACAAACACCCTGTCCAATCTGGAGGCACAGCAGGTATGGTCAAAACCTTCCCTCCACACATACATGTTGGCTTAGCTTCACCATCTGGCACATGGCTTTTACGAAGCTGCACTGACCCTCCAAGAAAATAAAACATTTTCCAGTTCAGGTACCACTAGAAATAAATAAACCACTAACTTCACACTTCTAGAATTAGACTGTACCTTCTGAAGTCCTTGAAATACCATAAATAATTGTAAGTATTAACATAAATCATTTTGATATTTTCCTCCCTCCCATAGCAAAGAGTGTATTTATATTTTGATGTGCTTATTTCTTAGTTGTCATTTTCTCTTTCCCTCCATTCTTGATTTATTTTCAATTACACTTTGGGGTCACATTAGCAGAAAATGATTTCTGGATCCTGAAAATTAAATCTAAAGAATGCCAATAAAAAACTGCACAAAATATGCCTGACAGGGAAAGGTCACCCTTTCACTGCTGCAATTATGAAAAAGAGGTTTAATCTGAAAAAGTACTTTTAAGCTAATGAATTTCCATTTTCATGCAACTTAGCAACCAATTGGCTACAAGGCTTACATGAATTGGTGCCACCTTGATCACAGGAAGGATTTGGTCTTGGTCTTTTCATGGTCAACTGCAGGAGGAGTGAACACACATGTTTCTCTACCACACATATGATTCATGATTCATGTAGTTATATGTTACCTATGAAAACAATACACCTCACCTAACAAAAGACTCAGGCTGTTTTTCTATCAGAATATTTTGAAGACACAATCTTTAAAATATTGTTAGAGTATTGTTAGAGTAGACACAATTGTTAGAGTAGACACAATCTATTATATCATAGTGAGGCTAGAACGTTCCTTCTTTTCCTCTCTGGGGAAAGCAGGGGGCTGCAATTTATAATTTATGGCTTGGATCCAAGCTTCGCTCCCTGTAGTGGGAGCACCCTCTGAGCAAAGTTCTGCTCAGGGGATGCTCCTTCTAGAAGAAGGGGAAATGACTGTGGCCAATTCTGCTGCATTTAATTGTCCCCTAAGAAAATCTGCTCCAGAGAGACTTATGGCTTGTATTTTGTTCAGCCATGTACTG